TTTTTTTTAACCTTAAGGTGGTCATTTTAATGAAATCAAATTTAAATCGACACGTTTTCGTTATGAAAATAAAATGTGAAATTTGTGAAAATGTTGATTTTTGTTTTCTGATAACGAACATTTTGTATTACGGCCACAGTTCTGAACACCGAACCAGACCAGCTTGACTAAGAAGTGAGAACTGGTCCTTGATTGGTCCAATTCTCTTGAAGGATTAAAAAAAAATAATAATAATAATAATTAAACGAAAACCTCGTATGAAAACTTGCTAAACCCAATTGCTTTTATAAATGAAAATATTGAACCAAAAAAAAAAAAATCATTTTCTGAGGAGATTCATTTTTCTTCAAATGATCATAAACAGTAGTTGAAAATTATGGTAGGGTCGTTGAACTATAATTTTTGCGTTTGATCCAACTACCAAAGTACTCGTTTAAGCCAAGCAAAAGCATTTAGTGTTTGAGAAGCATAAAATAAACAAAATTCCATATATGTGACTGTCTACCAGCTGTATTGGTAAGCTAGTCATAAAGTGAATAATGGGTGTACAATTTCCTTGGAACTCGTTTTACCGAACATCAGTTATGCTATGGAGCCATCGAATGGTTCGACTTATGGAGCCATCCATAATTTTCTACGAATGGTATATTGACACGTGTCCTGCAATAAATACACTTTAGACACGTGTTAATACATAAATGTATGGATGTCGCCATAAGAGAGCCATCCGATGGCTCCATAAACTTTCTGAACCAAACATAGCCTAACACATAATCCATTCTTATTTTTTCTCAAACTAATGGGTTTACAATTTTCCGTGCGCAAGGTACTCATATCCTCGCTGCTGGCCGGCAGCAGTGTGTCCTGGTTCAACACCGTGTGCTATGTAGTCTGCATCAAAACATTCCGAACAAATAGAGCCTTAGCTCTCGCTCTCACCATAAGCTTCAATGGCTTGAGCGCCGCCATTTACAACCTCACGGCAAATTCCATCGACCCGAACAACGACACCAAACTTTATCTCCTCCTAAACGCCACTATCCCACTAATAACGTCCGTTTTAGCCCTCAGGCCAATCATGCGTTCTTCCGAGCCCCAATCAGCGGGCCCCACTCATCGCGACAGGTCTAATTTCATCATTTTAACGGCACTAGCCGTTATCACGGGCCTGTACCTTCTTGCCTTGAACTCGATGTCGTGGAATTCATTTGCGACTCGTGTCATCTTATCGGGAGCTGTTATTTTATTATTACTTCCCTTAGCCACACCGCGAATAATAAACAGCTATATTGGGAGCTCAACCGAAAATGATGACCTGGAGATTCAAAAAGAGCTTATAGGAACCGAGGCATTATTAAACAGCAGCTTAAACGAGAATGCTTCACAGAAAGATCGACTGGTGGTGGTGCTTGGGGACGAACATTCGACTGCAATGCTTATTAGAAATCGAGAGTTTTGGCTTTACTATGTTGTTTATCTATGTGGAGGGACATTGGGGCTGGTTTACAGTAACAACCTGGGACAAATTTCACAGTCGTTGGGTTTTCACTCGGATGTGAGATCGCTGGTTTCTCTCTATTCCGCTTGCTCGTTCTTCGGCCGCTTGCTTTCCACAGTACCAGAACTCGTACAAAGGTAAGTATTATAAAAGCCAACTCCGTAAATTTGAGGCTATAAGCTTATTGCTTATTTGGTTAGCTTATAATATTTCTGCATTCAAATAAGTTTGGTTTGGTAGGACGAGTTTTTTCAAAAAGTTCGAGCTTATCTCATATGCTTTTTTTTGGATAGCTAATTTTCAAATAAGTTCGTTGAAATTTTTATTTCAGCTAATTTTACCAAACATTTTTATCATATAAGCTAAGTTAACTTTTCAGCTATAATTCATAAACTATATTATAAGCTATAAACTATACACTCGAAAATCACTTAAACTATAAGCTAGTTTATTGGCTATCAGCTAGCTTATCAACTAGTTTTAACAAACATAATCATAACTTGGTTTTTTTTTTTTTTTTTTTTTTTTTTTTTTTTTTTTTTTTTTTTTTTTGTTTTTTTTTTTTTTTTTTTTTTTTTTTTTTTTTTTTTTTTTTTTTGGGTAATATGACTAAACTTGAGGGGCATTTCTTCTAGGTATGCCCATTTTTTCATTTTTTCCTTTTTTTGCAAAAAATACTTGCTTCACTTCACATATCATCAAGATTACATTGAACGTACAAACAATGCAGCAAGATGTATTACCCGAGAACCGGATGGCTGACTTCGGCTCTTATCCCGTCCCCGCTTGCATTCCTCGTGCTCGTTTCATCCAACAGCAAATTGGCACTTTTTACGGCCACAGCCTTGATTGGACTCAGCTCGGGTTTTGTGTTCTCAGCATCGGTATCGATAACATCGGAGCTTTTCGGGCCCAAACAAGCCGGAGTCAACCACAACATTCTCATCACAAACATCCCTCTCGGGTCTTTACTCTACAGCCTCCTTGCAGCTCAAACATATGAGGCGAATATAGGAATTAATTCGGCCGAGGATGTTTTGAGCGACTGCATGGGAAAAGATTGCTATTACGAAACTTTCATATTTTGGTGGTGGATATCGATGGTTGGTTTAGCCTGCAGTTCATTGCTTTACCGCAGGACTAAAGGTGCTTACGAGCGGCTGGAGAAAGAAAAACACGTCACTCGAATCACGTTGTTGAGACCGTTTTCATTACCCTGTGATGGGAATTAACTAAAGTTTATGCTCAAGTACTCGAGTAAGTCTATTAGACCACCAAATGCTATTATAGATAGCTAATGTGAAGCGAATTCTAGCAACATGGTTTATCAAAGGCAGGAGAATACTCATCTCAACATGATCTGGAAACACTTTGCATCCTAGCCATGTAGTGCAAATTCAGTCAGTTCACTTAAAGCTCTGCAGGGTTTTTTTTTTTTTTCGAGTAGATTTTACGGAGCATGAATCCAACATTGTTGATTTTCGGGACGGGATGGAGCTTGAGGGACCAGAGGATGAACATCCAAACGGAGCGACAGAACAGCTGAAAGTACCAGAGGCCGAAGACGACGGCCTTCAGCGGAAGCTCCAGCCCAAAATTGGCCGTGTTGATGAAGATTCGTCGTCATCGACGGTGAGGTCTTTGTTCAATGTAATCGACACTTATCGAGACGATAATTTGATTCTCCAAGAAATTTGGCAAACTTGCCAAATTCAGACTCAATGGACCAACAAGAGTTACCATAAGCTCATTTTTAACTTATATGATTAACTTGTAAACTTCATTTCTTCAAATAAATTTGGTTTTGTTGGACGGACTTTTTTTTTCTAAGATCATTTTAACGGTGACTCCAATGGAGTGGGTCACCAATTAAAAAAACAAAAAAAAAAGAAAGGTCATGCAAAATGAGCGACACAGGTTACATTGTGATCTTGGGTCGCGACCCATGTATTGTGTGGAGAATGGGACATTTGTCCTATTTTGATTGTATAAGTGTATTTTTTGTTTAAAAAAAATAAAAATTATATTAAAATTCGTATTTTTTTCATTCTTTACAAATAGAGACGACGCTTGATATATTTTGAAATAAAATTGTAATTTTTATATAAATTAAAATAAAATAAATTTTTAGGTTGAGTTGGGTTGGAGATAAAGATAAATTGAGTTGTAAGGTTGAGTTGTATATGTTGAGGAGAGAGAAATAATTTTTAATTATTAGGTTGGGGATAAAGATAGTCTAGAAAAAAGCTCGAGCTTATCTCATAAGCTTTTTTGGATGACATTTTAAATAAACCGTTGAATTTATTTTTCAGTTGGCTTATCAATTAATTTCATTAAACAATTTTATTATATCAGATAGTTTTCCAGCCATTAGTCATAAACTATTAACTATAACCTCAAAATTCATTTACAAGTTATAAAGCCAACTTATGATATAGGTTTATCAATCATAGTCAATATTTCCATTAAATGAACAACAAAATATGGGGCAAATATGAACATTTTTTTTAGAATATTGTTCCATAATTAGGTGTGTTGTAAAAGGATAGATTCACTCAAATTAACTCAAAGTGTGTTTTTTTAATTAACTATAATTAATTTAGAAAAAGTAATATAGTTAGTTGTTAGTGAAATTTTGAGAGTATATTAAAATAATATTTAAAATTAAATAATTAAAGTTTATTTAATGTAAAAATCGGAGAAAGATGATATGAAGTGATGGTTAGTTAAAATTATGTGAGTGGATGAATAGTGAATTAAGGTTGGTATGATGTGTAAAAATGTTTGTTGTTATTATTTAAGTGTATTGATAATGTTGAGATAGTGCGATTGAGTTAATTAATTTGGTTCTAGTAAATTCTTTTACAAACACACCCTTAACTTCTTGATATGGTATCCAATCTCACATTGAAGGATTTGGTATAATATTTTAGGGCAATAAACCGGGCATCCCTAGTTTCCAAGGTTATCGATTATGTAACCAAGCAATAGTATGGATTTATAAACAACTAGCACAACGCCCGTGTATTACACGAGTGCTTGCTAATTTTATTCTTAAAATCTAAAATTAATGAAAGAAGTAATTGAAAATTTAATTACCTTTCATAAAAATATATATATTATTATATATTTCGTATGACACTTTTTTATTTGTGTGACTTACGTGTGTTATATTATAATAATTTTTTAACTTACAACATATAACTACATTAAACATAAAAATATATCAATTGAGAAATAATTTTATTTTTCTAATGAATTTTAATAAATATTATTATTTTTTATTATTATAAAGATAAGTATAATTTATTTATATCATATATACAATATGGATGACAAATCAAAGATCATCAAAAGATGATTAATTTGATATATTATATATGTAAAACCGATAAGAAATACAAAAGTTATCAACTTTTAAAATACATTTACAATTCAATAGCTAATTGAAGGAAACAAATCAAAAGTCAGGGATATATTAGTCGCTTAGTATCTCACTTTGTAAAATTACAAAGAAGTAAAAGGTTATATTAGTACAAGTGATATCAAAATACCTAAGTTGGCAAAATAATACTTATGAAATGTCCGAACCTAGATTATTAATTATTAATATATTAATATTGTAGTGTTAAAAAAACAAATTTGAATGTTTAAGTATTCGAAAAATGGAAAGTATTAAATTTGTCCAAACCTAATTACGAAGCATGATTCTTCGCCAAATAGGATTCCGAAGCACCAGAAGCAGCTACGTAGGCTCAGCGCATTCGAGAATTATATACAGGGGGGATGTGTCGGTTTTGCTACGGAGTCATCGGATGGCTCGGCTTATGGAGTCATCCATAGTTATTAACAAATGGTGTATTGACACGTGTCATGTAATAAATACACATTGGACATGTGTCAATACATAAAGTTATGGATGACTCCATAAAAGAACCATGCGACCAATGTGTACGATATCATGAACATTAACTCCGACCAAAAAAAAAATATATGATGCAACCTAGAAACCAATAACACAAATAAATCACTAATCAAATACTCATAAAATAAAATTATTTGTTCTATTTTTTCTTCATATAATCTTAAAATTAAAAATTCAACATTTTACACACGTGCAGAAAAAATAAATTATTATTTTGTTATTTTTGAGAAAACATATTCAATTTATTTATTATTTATTTCATCTGCTTCTATTTCTAAAAAAAAAAAAAAAAAAAAAAAAAAAAAAAAAAAAAACTAAAAAAACTTTTACTTTCACAGCACCCAAACCAAAAAATTTCAAAAATCCTTCACTCCATTTTCCCAAGAAAAATTCCAACAATTTGTTGTAAACCATGGCGTCGAAGCTAATGGAAGAAGTCCAGAAGAAACTAGCGACGTTGAATTACCCGAGGGCCAACGCCCCGGCTCAGTCGCTCCTCTTCGCCGGCATGGAGCGATACGCACTCCTCGAGTGGCTCTTCTTCAAGTTCGCGACCAAATCCTCTGAATTTTGCTTCTTTTTTTTCCCTAATCGCTTGTTTGTTTTGATTTGGAAGTGGGTTTTCGTTGATTTGATTTCTACAGTGGTTATTTTTCTGAATCTCTGCAGATTATTGGGCGACAAGTCTCCATTTTCGCAGCAGAATTTGCAAGGAGATGCTGTGGATCGAGACGAAGAGACATCGAGGATACAATGTAGATAGAGTTTACTGAACCAGTTTGAAATCACTTTTTGCTTATCATGATCTTCTTTTTTTACTGAATTTTGCGCGCGTGGTGAACAGATTTGGCTGAGATTGCAAAGTTTCTTGGCATTACAGCTACTATTGACACTGAAGCCATACAAGTGAGTTTATGCAGTGTTGATTTTGTTAAATTAGTTGTACGAATTTGTGTCTCAATCTTAGTTTTCAGCTGACTATACCAAATGATTGTTTGTAATTTCGATGTTCGATGACAATGCGAATTAGTGCATTCCGTATTGAGACTGTTCTTTCATTTCACTATGAATGCCGTAGACATCTTTAGTACAGATATGCGGGACTGAGTTGTGTTCAATCAACCTTTTTTTTTTATCCTAACCTGTTAAATTAAGAGGGCCGAACGAAAAAAGATGATATTGTTGTGTGGTCTTCCTGTTTTACAATGATGATGGCATGGTGAGCTTTTGGGTTTAGTTTATCTGGTGCATGATGGAGCTTTTTGTTACAGGGTCGAGGGAGTTATGAGGATCGTACTGAAATGCTACGACTTATTGTTGATCTTGTGGAAGCAAGCATCTATGCTGATAATCCTGAGTGGAGGTGTGTGACATCAGCGTTGTTAATTATCAATAATTATTGCATTCTACTTGTTTGTTGATGCTTATATGTAAATGCTATAAAATCTTATATGGGTTTCGTATTCTCCAGTGTAGACGAGCAAGTGGCCAGAGACATTCAGCTAATTGATGCCATTGCTGAGAAACAAGCTCAGATTTTTTCAGAAGAGTGCAAGTTGTTTCCTGCCGATGTCCAGATCCAATCTATATACCCCTTGTAAGTAGTGATTTGTTCAAGGATTGTTGGCTTCATCACTACTTATGTCCATACTTTGAAGATGTTTGTCAGATTATTTGCCTCATTAATTGCAGCAACATTTTATTGGTTTCCATTAAGCTTTCAATCATTTCCGAACTAAAACATCGATATCATCTTTGTTGTCTTTGGGCATGAATGCACTACTGATCATGCACTGCTGGCGTTATTTGGCGTTTATATTGTGAGACATATCTCTTGATAGTTAGTTTGTTTTCGCTACAATGAATATTTAACAAGAGGTTTTGATATATCAATCTATTATCTGATTGTTCCCTCTTTAAGCTTAAACAAAGTGGTAGGTGGTGAACGGAAAATTACGGAACTTACAGAAACGAACTTTATTTTTGATATGCCGATCTTCTTCAGTTGGCTAGATCATTTTTTTTTTTTTTTCTTATTTGGTTACTTTATCACGTTGTTGTTGCCCTTTCCACTAGTTGGTTGTTTTTTCTGTTATCATGTAGATTCTATATCGTGTTTTGATCACATTTTACAGTGGTAGAAAAAATTGTCAGCATATATGGTGACCTTCTGTTCCCTTAATCAAAGTTTACTTGTAGGCCAGATATATCTGATTTGGAAAAGCAACTCTCAGATCAGTCAAACAGGCTTCAAAATCTTCAAGAGATGGTTGATGATCTAGCATCCAAGGTTTTTGTCGAGCTTTTTATAAGTCAACTTTATGTAAAATGTAAATCTCATTTGGTTATGGACCGGTATTAGCTTTATCTTGTTTTGATTGATGTTTTATATTCAATTGCCCATTAATGGTTTTGGTATTACCTTCTGTAGCATCCATATAATCCAGATGAAGATTACGTGGAAGTCGAAGCACGCTTGCGAGCACATCTAGAATCTTTTCTTGAAACCGCAAGATCTTTCAATACAATCTACACCAAGGTTTAGTTTGATTTAAATCATCTCCTGATTGTGGGGTTGTAAACATGTGTTGGATTTTTCATGAAACTATGAGAACAAATCTGAACTAGTTATGATCCTAGTGTATTAGGAAAGCATTAGATATATGTATGGAATTTTATGCATGAAAATACCTTTTTTTTTTTTTTTTCTTTTTTGGTTAATATGAAAGATGTGAAATAATAACTGGTTCAAAAAATTTAGATACACATTACGTGGTATGTCTCAAGAAAATGAACACAATAAACGATGTAAACTATTTGCAAATATATCTAGTAGTCTGTGAAATTTATGCTGCTGTAATATGTTAGTTAAAAAGTGCTTGATAAAAACATTGGTTCATGAGTTCATTTATAGGATATAATTATAGTCATTATCATCGGACAACGCCTCAATTTCTGATATGGTTCTGTTTGCCGACGGTAAATAATATTTGTAAATGTAATTTCTGAATATTTGCTGTTTTCAGGAAATTCGTCCTTGGACTCATATGATGGAGGTTCCACAACTTCATGGTTTTGGTCCAGCTGCAAATAGATTGTTGGAAGCATATAAAATGCTGTTGAAGGTATCTAAGTGTGATCACTTCCTTAAACGAATTATTGTTCATCGTTTTAAAAAAAAAAGAAGAAGAAAATTGAGGCTGCTTTTGTGCTAGAAATTTTTTTTCTTCGAAATCTGAGATCTAATATTTTTGCATCCTCGCTTGAAAGTCGAAAATCGATAAAATTCTGTAGATATTTCCCAACAATGAAATGAAAATATACTTAAAAAAAAAACATAATCTTACAACCTTTGGCGAGTTCGAACTTTGATGAAGGATGTCAAACAATTTCCCTATTCCTCTGCTTTGCAGTTTCTAGGGAACTTGAAGAACCTTCGGGATTCACATGCAGCAGTAGCCGTTGGATCTTCTGAAACAGTAGCTGGCGAGCCATCTTCAGTCATGAGAATAATTTCCGAGTGTGAAACTGCGTTAACATTTCTGAATCGAGATTTGGGAATTCTTTCTGCATCTATTGCTCGTGAAAAGGGAGAGGCAGCATCTCTGTAACTAACTACATGCCAGCACTGAGATTTAAAAACCTGATATTCAGGTCTAACTAAGTGGGCTCATTTTCAATGCAAAATTTCATTCTTTTGGTTACAACCAAGTAATTTTTTGTTGCCTATTCTTATTATACTGACAAAAATGATCAAATTCTCTTCTAATCTGTTGAAACCTTTTGGAATGGCCAAGTGCACTGGCTTGAGCCATGAGCTATCCAAATTTATTATTGGCATCCCTGAGTCATGTTGACATACTTTCTTGCCAAAAATATATACTTGTATTATAAAATGTCATATTTTCATTTACGATTATGGCATTCGAGTATGAAATTGTGTATATTATTGAGAGATTATGGGTTTTTTAATCATTAGACGGCCTCCCAGAAAACATATCGTTACAATAGGCCTCAATGTGTAGAGGACTGATCCGGTCGAAGATGTGTTATCAATTACTAACTCTCAAGGGAAAGAATTTATCAGTTGATTAATGTAACTGAAGTTTAATGAAGTACCCTAATACTATAACGTGAACTTTTTAACTCTCATAGGAAAAGCCCACTGAGTGCAAAACTTAGAAACCTAGCTACAGTACTCAACCTTTGCATGTAAATACTCAGAATTTTTTTATTTTTTTTCCTTTCGTTTTTAGCATCCAAGTTTCCGGTCTTACGATAAACAACTGGAGGCTTTTTCCCGATCAAACTTTCTGCGGCCACACACTAGACGGGTAGGGCCCACGATATGTGCAACAGGTGGTTATGCAGAATCGGGCCGGGCCCACCTTCACGGGATTGGTTTCGAAGGGATCTTTGAAGGCATGCATGATGGGTGGGTGTTTGTGGGCTAGCTATGGGCAGTGAAGGTGAAGATGATGGCCTTTATGTGGTTTCAAGAAATGATTTTGTGTCCCACTTGTTGGATTGGATTTTTGTTTTGTTTTTATTTTTTTTTTTTTTTTTTTTTTTGATGGAACATTGGGACTATGTCGTGGTTGTGTGTGCCTTTTTTTTTTTTTGGTGCAAAAAGAGGAGGCAAGGCGCCTAGTGTTCTACTGCATAGACATCACGGGGGTAGGCCACACCAACAAGATCATGTTGGAGCCATGGCCGAACACCTCCCGGCGGTTCATTAAAATACCAGTATCCCAATAGACCCTTCGCGGCAAAAGAGGCTTGCTTGGTGTGCCTTTTTTTCGGTTGCGTGTGTCTTTAAAAGGTTTGCTTGGAGTTTAGATTTCCTGTATCATTTTGTGTTTCATTTCGTTAGATGACTGACATGTGTACTAGTGTTGTAAACAAACTGAACCAAACCGAGGTTGTTCGAGCTTGTGTTCGTTTACGTTCGAACAGTGTTCGTGTTTGTTCTTTTATTTTTCGAGCAAAAAATCATGTTCGAGTTCGTTCGTTTAATTGTTCGTCAAAGTTCGAGTTCGTTCGTGTTCGAATAATTTAATATATAAACTTTTTAAATATGTTCGATTAACTCAAAATTTGTTCGTCCAAACTCGTTCGAACTCGAAAGTAAAAGAATAAAGTAAAAATAATTTTGTATATTATTTTTTTATTAAAAATATTATGTTAATATATAGAAAATAAAAAAATTATACTAAATTTTAGATTTTTTTAATCAAAATATTATGTAAATATCTAAAAAATAAAATATATTAAACTAATGTTCGCGAACATAATCGAACGTTCACGAACGAGGCCGTGTTCGTTCGATTATTAAACGAGCCTAATTTTCTGTTCGAACTCGGCTCGATTAACAAACGAACGAGCTTTTGTCGAACACGAACGAGCTTTTGTTCGCGAACGTTCGGTTTGTTTACGGCTCTAATGTGCACTAATATGACATCATCATTTACACGTGTCAATCAGTGTGATTGATTGCATGTAATAATCGCAAACTTTAGCCTCCAATCCGCCACGAACGAGTAGCATTATTACAATATTAACCGAAAGTAGAAACTGAGCAAACCATTGTTGGATTTCCAACTGTTCATACATAATCCAAAATATCATCATATTTTCTTCACCATATCACTCCAAAAATATGAGCATATTATCAGATTTTCTATCAATATATCCCAAATATGTCTGTTTTTTTTGTTCAATATCTTGATATTGACTGACCTCTTAAATCAACAATAGAATGCTATATAATAACTCAAGTTTATGAATGACGCTAAACATGACTAAACAAGAAATTTGATGTTAATTAATTACATATTGTTTTATCATCATCCAACAACACTTGACTAACACACTAATCAACTCTAAATCATCAACATAATTAGCTCATAAACCATTTAATTCCCAATCCATGGATCCCCATAAACACTAATTGTGTGCGGTATAATCATATATCGATGTTGCTGTTTGACGGATCCAACGATTTCACAAGTATAATTTTCCAACGGATACTTTTACTTAGAAATTGAAAAACAACATGAACAAAAATATGACACTTCATAGTGTAAATATGTACATATTTTATTTTTAAATATATATCTGGTCGACTCGTCTAACAACGAGACTGTCTGTGAAAGAAATTGTGATCATTTGTATATTCTTGAAATGGCTTGTCAAATTTCTCATTATGAAATTTATATATCACAATCGGACATGCAAACATGACCTCGTTCCAATTTCCAAAAAAGTCAACATCAAAATTGTAATTAAAATTATCAGATAATTAGAAACGTATACGTATAATTGAATGACTAATTTACCCCTACTCATTTGTTCCATCAGACCGCATGCGCCAGAGGGATCTCGGAGCCATTGGACGAGGCGACGGACTCCTGCTTTCCGCCGCCCTTCCGTTCGGCGGCGGGAGACGTGGACGCGCTCCTCGTGGCCTGTCTCGCCGGGATCTGGCGGTCTCCCCCGGCGGCGGCTGCGCGCGAGAAGCATGCCTTGGCGCAGGCGTAGACGTAGGCCAGGAGCCAGACGAGCCACGGCGAGCCGATGAGGATGAGGGCGGCGATCGGGTGCCACGGCTGGGATACGGCGGGGAAGAAGACGTGGAGCGCGAGGAGGACGCCGCCGGCGGTCACGCAGAGGCACAGCAGGGCGTAGATCGTCGGGATGATAACGTCTCTGCGCGATTCATTATCATCCATTAATCAAATCGATTGGATTTCGCGTTTCGCGGCCTCCTGGCCTTATTTTTTCCGGTGGATCTCTCTCTCTCTCTCTCTCTCTCTCTCTCTCTTGGCGTCGGTTGATTTTCCCCAAAATTTGGGCGATTTTGGGTTTTCTCTCTCTACAGCTTGGGTTTGAAATTGATAATGGCTTTGTGTGGTGCTCTCTCTCTCTCTCTCTCTCTCTCTCTCTCTCTCTCTCTACGCATTGGGTCTGTAAAAGTTGTTGGTTTTGGAAGAGAAAGAAAGGAAAATCTGTTGAGTCATCCAAAATGGCATGAGGTTTTCTGTATTCCAAAAGAATAGAAAATTATGGAATTTAAAATTAATATTAACAAGCCGCACTTAAACAAATCATATAAATCTTCCGTTTTTTGAACTTTTTAACTAACTCTAGCTAGCTTGGTTCATTGTTGAGCTCACGAGTGTCTCGTATCATTTAACAACTCTACCAATTATTATGTCTAAAGCGGGGGTGATGAAGATCGTGTATCCGCTCAACTCGACTTGTTTCGAAAGTTGCTTTGCCGCGGCTTCCTTCTCGGCGACGGTGCGGACGTCTCGGAGGTCAATCTCCTTATCTTCTCGCGATAGGTGAGACAGCTCGGACATGAATCCTTGCCAAACTCGTCTTGTTCGCAAGCGATAGGTGAGACAGCTCGGACGTGAATCCTTGTCAAACTCGTCTTGTTCGAACTATGCGGTGGACCCATCCCATTTGAGTGTTATGTACACCTCTATGTACATTTATTATGTACTTGTAGCATTTTTTATAACAATTATCCTAACTACACAAATAAACACCTAACGCCACTAACAATTAATTAATTAAACTAACTAATCTAAATAATAATTAATCTACTTAATAAGTATCTTCTAGAATCTTCGCTCCTCGGCTCGCAGGGCTCGCCTCGTGTATTTGCGCATTACGTCCGTGTACGCCCCCACGTGCACAAGGTCTCTCGAACCTTCTCGTGCGCGTGTCTCATACCGGGTCTCACCCACTCCTCGTCAACCTGCAGGGTTTCCAGGTATCGGCCATGTGCGTCTTGACCTCGTGCGATAAGCCCGAGGCCATGAGTGTGTCCACGACTCACGTCACCTTCCTCGTGAACCTCTCATACGGGCTCGTACCCGTCTTTTATTGTTGTTTAAGAACACAGGGTTTCGCAATCGAAAGTACGTTTTATTTATTTCAGGCTTAGTTATTGCAAGAGCCGAATGATGGCACAGGCTGTTTAAATCCTTTTCCGGAAGGTTTTGAGCGAAAAATGCAAGATTTGGGAGTGAGCAAATATGTGTAGACATTTTACAACTCATGTTTATTGAGTGATTCAACTAGACGTTCTTCGTAATTTTCTTGTGATATGCTCGGTAGACCGGTTTGTGTGTTGGTTTCGCAGTTTCTCTCTCTCTCTCTCTCTCTCTCTCTCTCTCTCTCTCTCTCTCTCTCTCTCTCTTTTTTTAATTATTAACTGTATTATAAGTTCATTTTAACAGAGAGATTTGCATACAGAAACACACAAAATCAAAGAAAAAAAAATAATTAAAGTGATCCCCATAGCCAAAAAAAAAACCATGTGTTCATATCATACCTTATTAAGATCACAAGAAAACTTACAGCCCCATCACAAATAAATTGACTGAGATGCAGACGTTCATATAACTTACTATACACTCCAGAGAATGCGAGTTACAAAATGATTTATGCTATCTAACCTCAGCAAATGTTCGTAAGAGAAATTCTATTGAACTGCCAAACGCTGAAGATGATCTAAGAAGACCTCAAAGCTGACATCATCAGTGAATATTATGTCGCCTCCCGGGACAGCTGGAGTATCGGAATTGTAAGTAGCTGATGGATTCAATTTTGCTAGCAGAAAACGGGCCTGCACATTGCAGCACGACTTGTTATTGGCATGGCATACAATTTGCTATTGGTATATAGCATCAAGAACATTAGAAGATTAATTAAAAAAAAATTATAATTCTCATACAGAATTAAGCAACAATTAGCCATTGCAGCAACAGCAAGTGGTATAATTCTCTTTGGTTCTTTGACCCAAGTGAACATCCCACAATATCTATACTAAATGTTTCTAAAACGACTGGTTTTTTAAGGAAAAAGATTAAAAGACCTGAGAACCGTGTTGATCGCAAACTACAAGGCGAGGTACAGGAAATCTGTCTCTCATTATTGCATTCGCATCATCACGTGGAGCTTGTAGCAAGTTAGCAAACGCCTACAATAACAGCAAAAAAAAAAAAAAAAAAAAAAAAAAAAAAAAAAAAAGAGAAAAAATAAAAAATGAATAGGAGATTGAAGCCATCAAATCAATATATATATATATATATAATTACTAGCTAATAGCATTTAATAAAACCTATTTAATTTTACCTATGTGGCAATTAACCATTTCCCTCCAAAAACCGTTACTTTTAATGTATTTAATATTTCATTTAATTATTAAATAATCAATACTAATCACTTCAAAACAACAAAAATCATTTTAAATTTTTGATTACTAACAGTTGACCGTATTATATATTGACCGTATAATGTGATTAGATGTTATTATTGTGGTTACATTAAATTCATTTTTTTACAAAAATAAAAAACTTATTTGAAATTCCTAAATAAGTAATAAATAAATCACAAAAAAAACGTACCCAAATATACATTACATCTAATTAGATAAACTCAATTAAAAAAAAAAAAAAAAAAAAA